CAAACAGGACCAGCCATTTTATAAGGAGACAACCCATGATATTAAGAAACAAGGGTTTGTAAACAGGGAAATTTATGCAAATTCCATTATTATTATTATTATTATGCCTTGTGGAATATATGTAAACAACTTATCAGGGTGCTACTTTTTTTGAAACCTGTTATTTAAAAATAAACATCATAAACAACATTTATAAAAGGTATATAAACATGGAAAACCACAATTGACCCCTTCAAGAGCACATTACCTCAGCTGAGGCCAGAGTAAGTGTGGTGTATCTGTCATCTGTCTGTCAGTGACATCAGTCCACATTCACCAGTATAAGAGAGTCAGCACTGCTCAAACATCATTCAACAAACTCAGGCAGAAGAGAAAGGAAAGTACCCTCCCTCTTCACTGGAATCCTAGAAGAAAAGGAAATGTTTTACGAATGTAAAGTTGACTTTCTATAATGCTTTACTGTGGTACCCAATGAGCTTGACACAATAGAAGAATCAGGCAGTAGGAGGAGATCAATTTTTATAGAGAGAGTAAAAGATCCATGATTCACTTCACACGGAGAGTATTTTAGCCTCCGAGGCATTTTTCTGAAATCGCCCGCGGTGAGAGAGAGAGAGAGAGAGAGAGAGAGAGAGAAAGGAAGAGGGTGAGTGAGAGAGGAAAAATCCCATGACTTATCGAGGAAAAACAAGCCAAGGCGGGACACAATGCTGTTTTATTAACCGGACGACATAAAGTTTATTAAACTCACAGAGAGGTTGGAACGCGGGCCAGCCGAGAAAGGGCTTGGAGCGAATCCGAGCCATAATGGGAGAAAGTCTGACCAATTAACACCAGACCGGGAGGTCTGAGCACAGCTCGCTGGCCAAATTAAGTCCCGGGAGATACAGAAGCTCATATCTCAAAGCAGGGGAAGCCAGAGTCATTGGCTCTGCACTGCCAAAACGAGCCCTGAGCCGTCCACATAACTCACTGCCACTCACTGCTTGGTGGGCCTACAAAGGAGCACTGAGCATGCAGTTCGACCACAAGTGCAGGTGGAGGTTGCGAAAAGGAGAACGGAAAGCCAATGTCGAGCTCTCTCGCAAATATGACTAACAACTCCCAGCTTAATGACTGGGGCCAACCCTCTGCTTCTATAAAACCAGCACCGGCCCTTGTGATAGGCTGCGATGTTTACACAACGGAGGGTTTGGAGGACACAACTCACAAGGCACTGCTTTGGTGTCGCCCTGAAGAACATCCTCTTAGAATTATTAATAAATCAAAGATACGTTCATTGAGCCAATTGGAGAGACACTTTAACAAGGCCGATATCATAAATTGCACATAACTCAAAAAATCTATGTAGTATAATGTGATAGATTAATGGATTGGAGCCAAGGCCCTCATAGACTGTAAACAGGAGTACAACGACAAGGCATCTGAACACTCGGTATCTATCTTCATGATACTTATTCTGTTCCAAACCTAGTGAGCTTCTTCTGTAGGCATCATGAGCTGCATTTCCATTACAGATTTGCACAAAACTTTTGCGATATTTTGTCAATCTCATCTCAATAAAATAACTATTGCAAAATGACAGCGTTTCTCTTAACAAATGGTATGCAACTAAAACGGACATTTTTCCTCTTGCGATAAGTTATGATTATGGATGTTGGGAGGTTTACATATATAGCTGCCACCGCACTAGTCATTATTTTTAATCGAAGGAGATGTAGGTGTGTATCTTTTGCGAAACAGTGCAGAGAGCTGCTTCTGGGATGCTTCTGAAACGTGCCACGGTATAAATACAAGCATTGACTAGAGTGGTCGCAACGGAGCGGTAATGCGTTGCAGATGTGTGTAGTGTAAATAAGGGGTTATTAGATAAGATATATAGATAGATAGATAGATAGATAGAAGACCACTAGTGAAAATTATTCTCTTGAGTTTTTTTATTTGTAATAATATTTTTTTAATAATAATTGTAAATGATACATTTATAGTATTAAATAAATTAATGTTATTATTATTATTAGTAGTATTAAATAAATAAACAATGTCAGTAGTGAAAATGCTTCTATTTTGTTTATACATTATTATTACTACTATTACTACTATACTACTATTATTATTATTAAACAAACAAACAATTAAATTAACAAATAATGAAAATGCTTCCGTTACACACACACACACACACACATATACAGTGGGGCAAAAAAGTATTTAGTCAGCCACCAATTGTGCAAGTTCTGCCACTTAAAAAGATGAGAGAGGCCTGTAATTTTCATCATAGGTATACCTCAACTATGAGAGACAAAATGAGGGAAAAAATCCAGAAAATCACATTGTAGGATTTTTAAAGAATTTATTTGCAAATTACGGTGGAAAATAAGTATTTGGTCAATAACAAAATTTCATCTCAATACTTTGTTATATACCCTGTTGGCAATGACAGAGGTCAAACGTTTTCTGTAAGTCTTCACAAGGTTTTCACACACTGTTGCTGGTATTTTGGCCCATTCCTCCATGCAGATCTCCTCTAGAGCAGTAATGTTTTGGGGCTGTCGCTGGGCAACACGGATTTTCAACTCCCTCCAAAGATTTTCTATGGGGTTGAGATCTGGAGACTGGCTAGGCCACTCCAGGACCTTGAAATGCTTCTTACGAAGCCACTCCTTCGTTGCCCGGGCGGTGTGTTTGGGATCATTGTCATGCTGAAAGACCCAGCCACGTTTCATCTTCAATGCCCTTGCTGATGGAAGGAGGTTTTCACTCAAAATCTCACGATACATGGCCCCATTCATTCGACCCAAGCAACTTAATACTTTTTTGGTTTTGTGGTCCAGGGTCACACATATATATATATCCCAAACATGTTATGTTTTGTCTTTTGCATTAAAAATGCTACTATTGTTTATGTGGAGGTTAAAATATATATATTTTTTCATTGTGGTCTCTTGGGGTCTTTTGGACCCCATTGTATATCAAAGGGAACAAAACCTGTTCTGTCCCAATGTGGTAAATGAGCCTCTGACAGTATTTTGGCTTTCAGTTGCTGAGTAGTGGGAACACTTTTTTTTTTTTGCATTCCAAGGATAACAGCCCTATCTGCTCTTCCTGCCAGCCTTCAAGACCCCTGGCATATCACTTAGATGCCATCTGAAAACATAATTGACTTCAATATATGATCTCTGGACATTCATCAGTTGCAGAAAACTGCCATTCCGAAACAATTTTGGGGGCATTTGATCGAAAGACCAAACAGTCAATAAATACAAACTCCGAGGCAGAAAAAATTGCAGAGCCACCATTTCAATCACTTGCAAAAAAGGGAAAAATATGTGTAACAGTTCACAAATCAGTTTTTATTAATTTAAACACAACCAAATAATAAATGTCAAAAACATCTGTACACATCTTTTTGCAGACACAACAAACTGTTTCACAATGAGGCCCACATATTGTAAATTATTTCCAGTTTGCATTATGATTGCATCATTTATTTAAAAAAAAAAGTGTGTTAAATCTAGAAAACATCTACTGTTACTGTGATCTAGCAGCAAAATGTGATTCCTCTTTATGCGGGGTGGCGGGCGATGCAATAAGAGGGGTGAAATTGTAAATGTGGTGAGAAAAACTAGGCCAGAGAAGACGACCTCACCTGCAGGAGCCGAACATCATCATGTGCCGGGAGGGAAAATTAAAAACAGATCGAGTTAGCTGGGGAAATTCACAGTCAATAGCACATGTTCTCAACTCCATTGTGAGTGTGTGTGTGTGTGTGTAGGTGTGAGTGAGTAGTGGCTTTCTTTCTTAAAGTCTAAGAGCTAGAGTTTCCAGTCCACAGTTACCTTAGAACTACCAATATGTATCATGAAAATCCAACTACAGTGATTTCCAAGTGGACACAATCAAAATAAAAAGACTACTTCATACAAAATTACACTTGCTGTACAAGACTTTCTGCTTTAGCGCCGTTACAAAAGATAATAAAACCTATTTAAGCTTAAATGCCCGTCGCGGACGCTGAGGTTCAATGTCCAGCTTGAGCAGGAGATAGTACTGGGGATACAGACATTTACACTCAGTTTGAAGCTTGACATTCAGAAGATTATTACTCTTATAATGCTGCTTATGTTCTTCCTTAGAGTTTGAGCTACCATTGGGATTTAATTCACTTTGAAACTGACTGAAAGAGTCACATTTCATCGTGGAGAAAGTTTCTACATGGACTCTGCAAGTTCTCACCACCTTTGAGGAGCAGAAGCTTACAAAGGAGGAAACAAAACATCACTGAAGAAAAATACGAAATTATTGACACTTGACATCCATGCTTTTGGTCATGACAAAACAATTATCACCAAAAAAATCCTTATCTACATTTATTTATTGAATGAAACTTCGAACACGTCAACACTTTCAGGCTTTGCACGAGCTACTGCGCCAACGCCTTTACGTACGTACTTCCATGAAACGGCTTTCCACAGCATGTACCTTAATTAATATAGGAAGGAATAGTCCAGTGATTACAAATTTACACACACACAAAAAAAGTCTGTACACGATTGTCTCTGCAATGTAAATAACGTTTCGTTAAATTTTTTTCTTTAAATTATTTCGAAAATCCATTTTTTTCCTCCATCAACTACTTGGTGTAGTGGAATCAAAGTACTTTGTAATGCAAAAAGGCACAAGTCTCTTTTTCAGGGCCGGTGCCGGTGCCGCTCCACAAAGTCTCTCGAAAATTATAAATAAGAAGTGTAGGACATCCAGGGCAAAATGAGGAAAACGAAGGGGTTGTGCCCCACTGTCTTTGTACCATCGGTTGAGACATAAAGAGACAAAACATTACACCAAGTCGCAGTGGGATCGGAGTCCTGCTGAGTTCCAAAGGCATCGGTAGCTCAGTTTTTGTCACAGGTGTGAACCCTTGCCGAGTCCCCCGCGTAGACAGGGCTGTAAAACATTTTGATGGCTTCGGAAAAAAAGCCAATTCACAGTTAAATAAGAAGTGTAGGACATCCAGGGCGAAATGAGGAAAACGAAGGGGTTGTGCCCCACTGTCTTTGTACCATCGGTTGAGACATAAAGAGACAAAACATTACACCAAGTCGCAGTGGGATCGGAGTCTTGCTGAGTTCCAAAGGCATCGGTAGCTCAGTTTTTGTCACAGGTGTGAACCCTTGCCGAGTCCCCTGCGTACACAGGGCTGTAAAACATTTTGATGGCTTCGGAAAAAAAGCCAATTCACAGTAACCAGGGCCAGCAGCTGCAGAGCCATAAATTCACTCTCCTCCACTTCGAAAAAGGTTTAGGGTTAAGACGAATTGTGGCCATGTGTCAACACGCTGAGCGTGTCGCTTTCTCTCTACGTTATGTGTGTGAACGGTTTTGTTTTTGGTCTGGTGCTGTAGGAACGCAGACGCTCGGGCGACGCAGCAGGCTGACGGTGCTGGGTATGGGTCTGCAGGGCCCCCGCACGGCCTGGGACAGAGCAACAGGGCCGTCACAGTGCTACAAGTACTCCAGGTCCAGAGCATGATGTAGGGCCATGAGGTCAGAGTGACTAGAGATCCTCCAGAAAGGCATGTTGTGCTAGAAAGACACAGGGAGAGAGAGTGTTTGAGGGTGAAAGAGAAAATAAAGAAACACAAAACCTGCAATGAACACTTCACTTAGAACAACAATCACGCCCATGAGCGCCGTCTGAACAGCCTCGATGGCCCGTAACTTCACACAAGACTTGAGAAGAGGAAGGACTTACAAACTACAACCACTGAACCAATGAGATCACTCAGTAAATATCATTTAAGAAATTAATAATAAAAAATATCACATTTTGACAGTTAGCTCAATGAAATGAAAATAAATGAAATACATCTAGTTGAAAATAAAGGACGCATATCTACTTAAAAACAAAACAAATGTACTCTCTGTGTTCATGTTGGTTTAAAAAGAAAAACAAAACGCAAACAAGCAAAAAAAAATTTTTTAGACCATTTTCAATTTAATGACAAAATGTCATGTTAAAACCATATTCAATTAAAACCCCATTTTTTCCTACACTTTGAATATACATTAACACATGTATCTTAATCTTTTTTAATAATATCAAAAAGGTTTTTGAAAATGTTTTTCAAGGTAAAAAGCCTTTCTAATAATAATAAATAACATGAATTATTCATTCATAACACATGATTTCATTTTTGGGGAGTCAGCTCACATGATATTGTATAACCTGAACTTGGTCACGAAAAGATTTTAAGAAACTTATTAAAGTTTAAAACTTTAATAAGTTTCTTAAAATCTTTTCATAACTTCAGGTTATTAACTTATGGACCTTGACACATAGTCATGAGGTTCTTCAGGGGTCCTCTTTACTTCTTGTTCAGTTTTTTTCTTTCTGCAGGATGATTTGACGGGTAGATGTTGTTCAAATATTAACAAACAGTGAAGGGTTTTTTTTTCCATTTAAGAATATATTTTAATATTGTTGGAAAAATATAATAAAATATTTAAAATATATAAAACAATGAAGGCACCATTAGAAAACACAGCAAAATGGTTTACTACTAGTACCTCAGGAAACATAAAGGAGGGAAATATCTATTAAATGCACTATTCGAACACAACATTGCAAATGAGGCATTGTTCCTGGGAGAGGCCACAAGGAAATATGATTCTGCCAGAATGAAAGAAGCTTGTCAGCCCAGAGTCGTCCACACACAAACCATTACTGAGTCTTATCAAAGGTATAGCCTCTCTCGGGCATATGTTCCGCTTAGAGAAGCTTGCACTGACCCTTAAAAGACTCTTTTCTTTTGTTTTGTAAATTGTCTTTGCTTTTAACTTTAAAAGCCAGAGATGGTATCTCCTTTTGCCTCGGTCGAGTTATTAACTAGAGGGGAATTGTTTCTGGGATACGATGGAAAAAACAGAAGTATACAAAGGTTTAACTTTGCTTTGGTGGTTTCATACAAAGTCACCCTTGACACTAGAGTTGTATCTGACAAAACTGTGGCATTTTATATCAAGCCGGGTTTCTCAAGTGCCAAGGACTTATTAAAATCCCCTGTGCTACGTCTAAACACTTTGTTTCGGAGGAAATGGGGACTGACATGTAAAGCTTAAACTTCCTACATTCACATTCCTTGCATGATTAACTGACAACATGGAACAAATCACTTGGCACAATATAATAATCACACCAACATGTTTTCGTCTGTTTGGAACCTGCCTGAACAACAAGCAGCTTTGATAATTAATTACACAATGAATAATTTCAGGTTTTGTGGCTTACAGCTTTGGAAAACTTGGCAGATGTTCTGAATACACAGGTGGCAGGTAACATAAATCTTCTGGTTTGAACAACAAGAGACGGGAAAACAACACTCCTAATGTTCTTCTGAATATCCTCGACTTATCTAACAATGATTTAAGCGTCTTAAACGCATGTTATATTTATGAACTGGCCACTCTAACATGCCTGAGAGGACTTGTCTAGCATTTACACATGGTGAAATGGCACAGTCACATGCAGGGACGTGTAATTATGTCATCTCGCCTCCTTTTATATTCGAGCTGTCAGGGGAAATGAGCTGATTACAATGCGAGAATCATTCTCTCACTGGTCCAATGACATTTTCAGGGAATGGACTGAAGAAATTGAAGGTTTAAAGGAAAAGTGCTATAGAGTTCTAGGCATCTTCATACCTTTTTCGACCCTGTCTCCTCCTCTACGCCGTCCCCCACCACCACATAAACAACTTTCCTTCCGAACCTCTGGATTACTCTCTCGAAGCAGCTCTCTTTTCCTGGGGAGAGAAGAAATAGGTTTAGGTTGCTGCAAAAAGCAAGGAAGCCACATCCAAGATCCAGCCCCGGTGAGGGGCTCTTTAAATACGCAATAAGTTACACAAAATTACGCAGCATAAACACTTTGCCTCGGCTCGGAGATACGATAAGATCGATGCTCAGATAAAAGTAGTCTGAAAAGCATTAAGTGTGCCTTATTCCTCCCACAACATGGGACAAATGGAGTTTAACAAGCTAAATCAACCTCACATGCAAATGCCGCGGCGAGGGAGGCGCTGAGCTTCGCGCGAACGAAAGTATGAAAGTACAGGTCGGTGTTTATTTTGCATTCAAAAAGCGGAGAGGCCGAGAAGAAGAAAAAAATGTCAAAGTGGAATGACATAAATTTTCCGAAGTGGTTTCATATGTAGACCTGAAAAGGAGAGGCCCAGTTCAGGCTGAGCTCCAAGAAAATAATCCCAGCCTGATTAGACCTCTTCCTGAACATCAACCCTCTCGTGTGTCCGCCACTTCTGCAGCCTAACCCAATCACACGCCATGTGTCTCGCGCTGTTTACACGTAATATTGCCGTAATTACGGCCACATACATTCATACACACAGGTAGATAATACTGAGCTCACACTTACCTATTTTCGTGGCGCTATAAATATTTTCAATTGGAAATACTACTCCCAGTCCGTAGAGGAGGACCTTGGCGAGGGCAGGTATGAGCTGTGTTGTGGTCACTAAGATGTTCACACAGTTTGATCTGTAATTGAAAGGCAAATTGCGTCAAGTTAAATCGCGCAAGGGAGGACAAGGCTAACCAGGAGCGCCATTTGTCATCCAGAACGCTCCATGATAAATGGATCTTTAATTGTTGTCACTTAAAATGCTGTTTTTCAAAAACAATACAGTGCTCTTTGAGGTATTGGGGCATAAAGCACACCGTTATTCATGCCTCTCGCTGATTTATGTGTATCAAAGATGGGCTCTATATAATTCGCTCGTGCTAAGGCCTACCTTGAGTGGATTAATGTTAGTGCTTTCAGTGCCAGTGTTAACCAGGAGTCGGTCAGGGCTTCAATTTCTGCTCGCAATTGCAACCAGGCTTCCCTTTTGGCTGGGCCAAGCAGACCTGAAATGAACAGAAACATTGTTTGAGTTGGACCGTCCCACGAATACTTTGAGAAATTTCGAAATTTACTCAGACCAAGTGGTTTCTGCATAAGGGATTATTTGAGAAACTTATGAGTGCTTTTGTTGACACACCACCCCTCTTCCCCAGCAATTTTAGCAAAGCAGTTTATTGGGGGATTACCTCCGACGTTATTTTTATAGGTGGTGTAAATTTCTTTTACTCGTCTATAGCGGAAGGCCAGCTTTCTCATCCAGTCCACACCTCCTCGTACGCCGGTGGCCAGACACAGGTTGGCACTAGTGGCAGCAGCGTGGAATCCGTCTGTGCTAAAATTATATGTACTAAACAGAGAGGAGGGAAAAAGAGAGAATGGCTTTTGAGCTCGACTTCAGTTAGAGTGAACTATGAAAGGGCTAGTATGGTGCTAGCTTTACCTTAGATCCTGTCCATTGTCGTCCGATGACACGTCGTCAATATGGACCTGATCACACTCCTGGAAACAAGCAAAAAAAAAAAGGGCGGCCATGGTGAGCTGGTTGGAATTAAAATATACCAATTTGATTAATGGTTTTCATGTGCAAAATGGGTCGTGATTTGGGAGCTTGAATCCATGAAGTGAATAATGTCAACAACTGTGGAATTTCCAATTGAAGGCTAAGCTCTCTCCCGAAAGCTCAAATCAACCTTCAACCACTTCCAGCCTCTAACCCCCCACCTGCTAAATCTTAATAAAAATAAACACCATCATCAGGGGATCGGGGATCCGACTCATTTTGCCACTACCACTAGGGGGATCTCTTGAGATACACATCTGCTGGTACGTAAAGTTGGTATCGGTAGAAGGTAGAAACGTCCTCTACGTGTTAGGTCTGCTAGTCCAGAGTCCGGTGCCTGAACACAGAGATAGCTGGAGGATAATGAGAGCGTCTGTGCCCCCTTCAGGGTCTCCACTTCTTGGAGAGGCTGAATGATTCTACAGCTCAGAGCTGATTCAGCCAGTGTACACAGTAACACAAACCAGACTTTCTGGTAAATGTAACGTACTAGAAAAATTGAACCTGATGCTAACCGCCAATGAAATTATGACCTCTGATTGCTGCCGAGCCACACACCAACACAGCCTGAGGCCTGCTTTTTGGAGAACTGAAAATCTGTTATTAGTTTTCCATTTATAGTCGTTCTCTCCCCCCTCCCCTTGCAAGAGCTCGAGATGTTAGTGAGCAGGGCATGAGCATTCAAAAAAAAATAAAGATTTTTTTGGAAAGACAGGGTTGGCAGCTTGTGTGTTCCAAAAATCATCTGCAAGAAAATAAATAAACAGATAAAAATAATAATAAAATAAAATAAAAATAAAAGAATAATTATATAAAAAAATTAACTTAAAATGTTATTTAAACCAAAAATTTTATATATATTAAATATCATATTAATTATAATTATAATAAATTAAACCTCTCTGTGTAAACTTCATGTTTAAAACATATATGGAGTTTAATTTCTAATTATAAATATACAAAATATACACATGTACAAAGAAAAATTGGTTGACACTGCCAGTTCTTCTGTTAAACCTCCATTCATATTTCAAGTTTAATCTAACAATTTACTTGGTAGTTGAATTTTAGAAGGGGGTATTTCCTTTTAGCCATTCTTTCAAATTTCCTTTCAAGAACTTTAAGCCTTTTAATTAAGTTTCAACAGGCTGCTAAGACACAAAAATACAAAAAGGACTTCCTTGTTTTAACTCAATCTGAACCTGGCCAAATGCTGACGTTATTGCATTCCTGTCTAATGCTACAGCAGGGTAGGGGTAAGCGCTTTAGACCGTAAACCTTTTTTATTTTACTGGTTCCCCTCTGAACAAATTTTTCATCTCTCTGGATTTGTGGGGAGAGGGAGGGGAGAGCGACGTGAAGAGAAACTCAAACCAGCTGTTCTTTAACAGAATTAAAATCTTGACCCCCAACCCCTACTCTAATGCAGCCATTCTCTCGCCAAGCCTCTCCCAGCAAGCCTCGAGATCCAAAGAGGAAAAGACTTTGACCCGGTGCCCTGCTCCTCCTCTCCAGGACTCCACAGGCTCAGATAAGGGGGAGGGGGGCTGGAGGTAGGGGCGTTTGTGAGGGGGGAGCCGGGGTGACCTCACATGGAGAACTCGAGTGTTGCGGGGCCAAAAGATGGACTGCCAATTGCAGCCGTGGCTCAGGAACACCTCAAGCTATTTGTGTAATCTGTTTCTAGATAGACAGCGATGGATCTGTAATACTTCTGAAGTACCAATTTGTTTTCCAGAGAGGACCTTTGGACAGGCCAAAATCATTACAGAAAGCTGGGGCCTCCGTCGCAACGTTTGATCTTGAGTATTAACGGTTATGATGACAAATGCGCCATTTCAGATAAATAAAATATATTGAAATATTTCTAACCGAAGTATGATTTCGAAAAAAATCCAAACTATAAAAACTGTCATGCAAAAACACATTCCAGAAGTACCACCCCCGTTCGAGTGCGTGCAGCTGCCTAGGTCTCTTAACACGTTACCATCTCCATTTGACGGAATCACCGCATGTTTACATTGCCTTTTAATTCGCTGGTTATTACGACACACAATTAACAGTCGTGTTGTGGGCTTCCAGACCTCCGGGATGAAAGTGAGGGCAGAGAAAGAATGCACAACCTCTAGCAATTACTGCACACAGCTGGAGCCCACATAAACCACTTGACTGCCTCTCTGGTAGCTGCACCCGGACCCTAATGGAGCTGCCCGGTCCTAATGTCTTACAGTAACTCATGAGACTCATTAGGACAGCTTCTTAAGCACTCGTAAACACCGTTAAGCCTAATGACCGAGGATGGGCCAGCTTTAAGTGGTTAAATACAGCATGTGGTTGATCTTCAAGGGTGGCTGACGGTATCTTCAAGAAGGTGTTATGTTGAAAGGGTGAGGTAATATAAATATTGTATAAACTACAGCATGACTGAGCTGGTGGTAAAAAATCAATTGAGATAATGGGGTCAATGATAAATAAAAGAGTTCAATGTATTTTAAAACAGGTTTTTTAAATATGACTTTGTATTTATTATATTTATATTCACACACACACACACACACACACACACACACACACACACACACACACACACACACACACACACACACACACCTCTAAATCAATAATAACATGCAATAATCTCATATCTCATTGTTTTAATGATTTTAGATTTTTTCATAGTAATTTCTTTTTCAAATATTAATAAGCAGTGACAGTTTTCCCATAAAAACTATAAAAAAGATTATGCAACAATCTTATTCTTTTTTTTAAGGATTTGTGAATTTGTGATACAACCATGATATTATGCACCAAAAATAAAAATTGTAAAAATATATTTTTATTTACATTTTTCATTATATATTTATATATTTGTTATGTGCTTATGAATAAATGAATATATAGGAAAAACTGAGATGGCAATGAGGTTGTCTTTTCTTTTATTGTACTTCTCCTTGTTCACCAAGCAGTGGTTCTTACAAACCTACAATCGCTGCTAACTAACACCAGATGTTCCTACTGTAGGCTGTGTAAAGATCCTCCTCTGCAATCCGTACATAATTATGGCTTACACAAACACGTTGTCTCTGTTTAATTCATCAATTTTTGGATCCCTTCTCATTCGTTAAACTATCCGAAGGTCCCGGTAAAAGAAATAACTGTGTAAATGTGTGGGAAAAACTGTGGGAAACTGCAAGAGAAGCCTAAAAAACTACAAAATAAACACCTTGAAATCAGCTCTTCTCTATTTCCATTCACTCGCTCTCATTTTCCTTTCAGTTCCTCCTCTGACTATCCAGGCCTAGAAAAACCTTTTCATTTATGCAAGCTATCAGAGCCTCCTTTGTTCGGCTGGCATCTGTCATTAAGCAATCAGGCCGGACTGGCTGATTCTTCCTGTTGGCCAGAGGAAGGGCTTTGCTGCCGACTGCACAGAAGCGACTGCTGCAGAATGTCAAAAAAGAAAATTATTATTTAAAACTACAAACCTCACTTTCCCTCTCGTCCCGAGCTGGAAACATCAGTATTGCATTACTCTCCCTGGCTACCACCATTTATCTTTTTTTCCCCCTCTCTTTCTCTCTCAGCTCAGGAGATTTCATCCCTGGCCGTGCCTTTGGGCCAGACCCTAAACTCTGCTAAAGCTTAGTCTGGAGAAGGAACTGGCTCCCCACACAGGTGAGTGTCCCAGGCAACAAAGGCACAGTGTGAGTGATTACAGCAATCATCACAACATTCCTCCAAGCCTACAAGCTAAGTCCATGTGAAAAAACCCAATCCATGGTTCGCAGGTTCTCAATGCTGCCACTCCATTGGCAGGTTCTGTCATCCCCCCGTCTGTGAGGGGGGTTCATGACCCCAGTGTTTGCCCCCCCTTCACTTTCCCACCACAGTTGGCCCACGTGAAGGGTGAGAGAGGTAGAGGGGAAAGAGGGAGGGTGCAGCTTACCTGTGGGTCGGACACAGGATATGGAAAACAAAGAGAGTTCTTCAGACCCACTTCATTCCAATCCACAGTTTGTGCTTGAACAGTCATGGAATTCAAACAGCCGAGTAAAACAAAGCTCTCTGGAAGCGTGACCTTCCTAAAACCGAGGCTTTTCGCACTCTGGCATATGAAGATGGAAAAGAGCAGAGGCTGGATTCATGAAAATCTTCTTAAGAAAGAAATGTATTGCGTTACGAAACGATATGATACGATACTTATGATACTAAATATTCTTAACTCTACTCATAAAAACAAAAAAAGCAGTTAAGAAGAATTTCATTATTAAGTATAGTTCATGAATCCGGCCCCAGATCTTCAAGTTACGTTAACTCAAGTAAAGTGAGTATGATGCAGAGAAGATAACGGAAAATATGGTTCGAATTTGTTCAAACACGGTCTCAACACACACATCCAAGGGCCAAATGTTCCACTGCATTTATACCTTATAGGTATGATGCCAGTTAAAACAAAAGTCCGTCCAAATTGGAAGAAAAGCAAACACCTGCTCTTATTAACAGTTTGACGATTATTTCAGCAAATCACATGATACATTTTTTCACGTATTGTCTAAATTGAGGATCTTATATTAAAACACAATGCTGCTTCAATCCAAAAAACTGCATAAGGATGAGCAAACCATAATTTGTCACCACATTGTTTGTAACACTACATTTTTCACAAACGCACAACCCTTATTGCTTTTAGGCCCCATTACTGTGGGCTGTTGGGTAAGAGAGGGGCCGATGCTGAGAGAAGACTTTAAAAGCTCTTCGTTCTCTTTTTAGTCATTCCAAAACACACCAGGGCTCCTGCCTGGGGACCTCTGAAGCCCTGACAGCCAAAAGACACTACCTGCGTCTAGACGTAAAAACATATTCAATCCACAGAGTCAATCGCGTTCCCGAATACACAACACGCGCAGGGAAAGTTATGATAATGACTTATTTCACTTTCAAAAGAGTCACTCCTCTATTTTGGTTTGGTCCAAGGAGCTCGAGGAATTTTGATGGAACATTTGCTTGTGGTATTGGCCAGAAATACTGTATATTAAACAACAAAGCTATCTACCTAAATAACCGAGAGGAAATCTGCAAACTAAGATAGGTGAATTGCACTGGAAAGATGTCAGACTAAAACACTGTCACAAAAAATGCAATTATAAAAAAAGTCACACCTCTACTCAATCCCAGTTGTAAACTGATAAGTGAAGGCCCTTCATCCTGGAGGTGCTAAAAACTTCCCGTTTGCAATGTCACAGGGTTGGCCTCAGGTATGCGTCTGCGGAGGTACGGCCGGGAATAATTGAAACCGTTCCCACCTCTGCAGAGCCAGGGAGGAGAACTCTGTCCCGCAGACGGCTCTGTGTTGTTTTCTCTCCCGGCGAGCCGTGGCCCTTCCCCACTGAGAGGGAGCACGGCCGGGCCTCCAGAGACGCACATTCCCACACACCAACCCGCACTCCACCTCTCACCCAAAACACAAGAATGCTTTCATCCCCAACACATCCTCAAACTCAGGTACTGCACACAGCATATCACACAAACTGGGGTAATTGCATACAAGAATTATGGTATAACCAGTTGTGGTATAACCAAAGAGAAGCATGCCAACTAAACCTCTGTGCATTTCTATACTCATATTAAATGTGTGATTTCTCCTGTAAAATGCTATTTCTTGTGTCTTGATTTCTCATAAAAACTATTAAATATTTAAACGAATTAAATGATTTTTAATGGGTTTATTTTAGTTTCAAATTAATTTGTCAATATTAAGTTTCCAAAGAAAAAAGTAAATTATTTAAATTAATTTAAAATACTTTATGCATGTACACTACTTTGCAAATGTTTGGACCATTATGATTTCTTTTCTGAAACTTACTGTTATTTATCAAGGGCGCATTAATTTGATCAAAAGTGGCAGTAAAGACATTGATAATGTTACAAAATATTTCAATTTCAAATAAATGCTGTTCTTTTGAATATATTTATTTTTTCATCAAAAAATTCTGGGAAAAGTATCATGGTTTCTTCAATAATTTTAGCAGGACATCTGTTTTTAACATTGATAATAATAAAAAAAATGAGCATCAAATCAGCATATTAGAATGATTTCTGAAGGATCATGTGAAACTGAAGACTGGAGTAATGATGCTACAAATTCAGCTTTGCATCACAGGAAAAAAATACACTTTAAAATATTTAAAAAACAGTTATTTTAAATTGTAATAATATTTCACAATATTACTGTTTTTACTGTATTTTTGTTCAAATAAACACATCCTTGGTGAGCATATTACTCAAAAACAAAGTTTTTACTGACCCGAAACTTTTGAATGTTAGTGTACTTAATGCTACGTGTAAATAAATATGACAAAATACAGTATAGATTTTTAAACATAAATATCCTTTACATTTGTAAATGCAAAAATTAAAAAAGGGCACAGCGATTTTTAAGATAATTACATATTTTTTTTTCATCAAAAAATTCTGGGAAAAGTATCATGGTTTCTTCAATAATTTTAGCAGGACATCTGTTTTTAACATTGATAATAATAATAAAAAATGAGCATCAAATCAGCATATTAGAATGATTTCTGAAGGATCATGTGAAACTGAAGACTGGAGTAATGATGCTACAAATTCAGCTTTGCATCACAGGAAAAAAATACACTTTAAAATATTTAAAAAACAGTTATTTTAAATTGTAATAATATTTCACAATATTACTGTTTTTACTGTATTTTTGTTCAAATAAACACATCCTTGGTGAGCATATTACTCAAAAACAAAGTTTTTACTGACCCGAAACTTTTGAATGTTAGTGTACTTAATGCTACGTGTAAATAAATATGACAAAATACAGTATAGATTTTTAAACATAAATATCCTTTACATTTGTAAATGCAAAAATTAAAAAAGGGCACAGCGATTTTTAAGATAATTACATTTAATATTTTTCAGCAACACACTTTTTAATTAACCGTTCAATAAAATGATTCATAAAAATGTCACCGGACATTCTGCACATACTATTTTAGTATCAAACTTGCGGTTCCTGAAAATAACCACAAAAAACTTCGGTAACACTTTATTTCGATAGTCCACTTTAGACATTCTATTAGGAGTAAGTAACTTTGCAACTACATGTCAACTAGCAGTTAGTAGAGTATTAGTAGACTGTCTGCTTAATATCTTCTAACACTTTCTTTGTCAACTTATTCTACAAACCCTAAACCTACCCTAACAGTCTACTCTGAGAGTTAGTAGACATGTAGTTGCAAATTAATGAGAGTTAGTTGACATGTAGTTGACATGTAGTTACAAAGTTACTTATAGTTAGTAGAATATCTAAAGTGGACTATCGAAATAAAGTGTAATAAAAACTTCCTCTCTCATGAAGAAATTTGAATCGATATACTGCAATCAATACAAGGATCATATTGCTGACAAGCATGAAATATATTCTGTCATTGTACAATATCAATAATTAAGTGAGCCAAAAAAACAAGACAGAGTGTCTCTTTTTCTGCGTCTTTATGTGTCTGCTAGGTCACAGTAGTATGCGTGTGTGTGTATGTGAAGTACATCCCTTATGACCAATACGACATGGCTTTTCCTTTTTATTACATTCCTCTATATGCACAATCATGTAATTATCAGAATATAACCAAACTCCAATCACACACAGGTGCAAGAAAGCAGGCGGAACGGCGAACAAATAAAACAACCCATCAGCTACACAGAATAATGTAACACAACACAATGCAACATGACCCCACACCTCACCAACACACCCTGACGTTTTAATCAGACAGGATGTGACCACGAGAAAATGTATCCATGTGGATTTATACCCTAAACAGTGATATTTGCAAGTCTTAGTCTTGTTTTATTCCCCAAAAATGAGCATTGTAAGAGTTTGGCACAAAGCAAATGCTGAGAGGCTGATGGTGTATTTCTGGACAGCGCCGGCTGTCCTTTGCACATTTGTGTAAGTTACACAGTTGACAATCACCAATCACCATTAGGCATTTGTATGTGCAAAGCCAGAGGGAAATCCCTTTATGGCTTTGACTAAATTAGACTGAGCATGTGCATTTCTTCAAGGTCTCAAATTCATATCTGCTGTGGTATTATTTACAGCTTGAAGTTCTCCACAATTTTGGTCTGTTCTTCTAAACAGCCCCTTTAGTTCAAAGAAAACATTCTGTTACAGTTTAAAGTAAGTTTTCTGCTATTGCATGCAATTGTCGTTTTAAGAGAAATGTCCTTAGCTTTAAAGTGTCAAAACGAAATGCAATAATTCCGTTGCTGAGATGTAGTAGAAAGGAAAAACTGTGCATTCCAATCATTTTACAAGATGCCTCGACAGCCGAATCATACGCGAGTTGTTTAAACACATGAAACGAAATCAAGATACAGGACAGATGTTTTGAAAAGCCACATTTAAGCTTTGT